GCTCATCGGCTCTATTGATTAATCGGTTTTTATTATACTGAATATACAAGCCGATTGAGCCGTTTAGCATCACTACGTACATACGCACACAGACGATACCAGGCGGTCTCCTGAAGTTCGTGTATGCTACTGCCGCAGCATTCAATAATCCGAACCTTCAAGCTGAAGTGAAAATTTGAGACATGTGATAAATAAGATTTTACTAACAACGACACTTTGGGATTCCTAAAAAAGTTATTTTGTTATTGAGCATTACAAAGTTAGATGTACTTAACGCTAATGCAAAGAGGCAGATCAAATTACGTAATGTCAAATTTCAAAAGTCCTAATATAGAAATGAAACTTTTTATCTGAGCGATCCGGATAATTAAATCAGATTATCCGGTTATCCACAAGTCGTTATTGCAAATTAAGTTTTAAATCAGGCTTATCATCATCGTTATTATGTTGTATAGATATAGTCATAATATGAGATAACCATGAATGTATGAAGATAATTCTTTGTTACGTATCCGGTTATCAGAATATCTGGCGGAGTTGTCAAAGAACGGATAAACAGATACGGATTTACACAGCAAACCTAGCATCGCCCATACAGCTGACTTGTTATTGTATACAATTTTATAATGGTAATTACGTAAATAAGAATCATGTGATATATACAAAATACTATATATACAATTGAAAGTATGACGTTAGCTGTATATTTTTTATGGGCGATGCTAGGGCTGTTCATTTTATCAGAACAATTTACAGGTTTTTGACATCATGAGGAGAAACCTGTAACGGTAAGCATATATTTAAATTTTCACAGTACCCACAGTATGTATTACGTAATTGAAAAGATTACGATCAGTGATCTATAATCGTTTCGATAGTATTTTTGAACGACTTGCAGGAAATGCGTGTGCAAGAACATTGATCGTACAGCGATTAAATTACGTAACACAAAATTTCAAAAGTCCAGACTTCCCTTGGCATATATACAAGTCACTCTCGTTACAGTGAAACCCTTGGGCTGTGAAAATTTCTTCACTATATCGGGAGATTCATTATATTGAGAGCCTCTAGATATAGTGAAGTCGATAATAAATAATTAACAAGTGTTACACAAAATAATATAGTTGTGTATGACAACTGTTCCATTAATTTTATTGGTCAATACATATCGCATGACCAAACCTTCACTATAACGCGAGACATTTTGTTATATCCATTTTAGTAAAAATCTTCATATATATTATATCGAGAGCTTACTAATTAGCTTCATAATATCGAACGAAAGTTTATTAATAATGATTTTGTTCTAAACAAATAAACCAATCTTCACTATAACAAGAGTTCACTATAACGAGAGTTTTAGATAAAAACTTTTTTTTTCGATAAGGTATTTAACATGACTAGACAGCTCGCACCATAGATTAATAGTCAATTTTTTATTTGATCAAAAAAGTAAACAAAAATTATAAAAGTCCTACAATTACATCAATTACATATTCAAGTTACTTTCTTAGGCTTTAAATGTTGCTTAGAGGATTTGATGGTAGCGGTTTTAGCATTTTGAATATCACAACGATTCTTAGAATAAAGTTGCTGACGAACATCCAATTTCGTCTTTATAATGTGAGAGTTATCGGATGATTTGGTAGTCCTTGGAATTACTTTAGTTGAGGCGGTTAATGAAGAGCGCGAGCTAGCTTTGGTTACTGAATGTGAAGTCCGTGAATCTAAAGTTCGACGATTGACACCGTCATTAGCATTTCGATTCCGTGGAATATGTGCAGATGATTTACTTGAATGGATTGAAGCACTTGAAGCGGGTTTTCTTGTTTGAGCGATAGGAACAGTGTTTACAGTTCTATGAGGTTGTACAGAAGAATTTGTGACGCGAGAATTTATTGGTCTTGTACGGCCACTTAGATCCATGTGAGATGTCCGAGAGGGAGCAGAATTAGTGATACGAGAGTTTACATGAGAGTGAGCACGATTATTTGGTAAGACAGAGTTTGCTCTCCTTTGAGAGGAAATGGCAGCAACAGGATAGGGCTCATGACGTAAATTATTTTTTAAAGTAACTTGACTATTTGCTGGCGTAATCGACTCTTGTTGTTTAAATATTGGGCGATAATAATCATTCTTCTCATAATTTCGTCGCAGCTTCTGAAGAGGGGTCATTTTTTGCCAACCTAACGATAAGTGAAACCAATTAGTTGGATTTATTTAAACTAACATAATAAGATTGGAATAAAATTTTACCCGATTGCTTTCTTCTTCTGTATTTAAAAATCAGATAAAATAGTTTAGCTAAATATATACAAATAAGAACCATAGGTAAATCTTAATGGTATGTCACCTAGATGGATCATGTAAACCAGGTATAATTTTTATTTTCTTTTCTTCTTTTTGTCGATCATGCTGTTTTTTAGATTGTCGTAATTTTTCAAGTGCACTAGCTAGTCTTTCCGCCTGCTCTTCTTTTGATCTCTATAATCAGAAAAGAACATTAAATAATTATGATATTAAATTCACTAATATATGAATGAAGTTATTACCCAATAAAGCTGACGCCAATCCTTTTTATCAGAATCAACAAACTTTCTTGAGAGGTTTGGTTGATCTCGGATAAAATGATCCTTCCATAATTCCATGTCCTCATCCATAAGGTGGGGATTTGCTTCTTCCAGACTTCTTAATTCATCTGGCGTGCAATGACGAAGGACCCGTTTTAACAAATAATAAGGTGCCTTACCCACTTTGTATAAAACTAAATCATTCAAAAATTAAAAGACCAATTAGGTCTACTAATAGTTTTTACAAGGACATATGCACAAGACCTACGATGTTTATGGGAAATTAATTTCTTATAACAAAGTTCAAGGAGCTTAGGGACGGAATTTTTTTTCATAACTGCACGACTTAAAGCTGAAGTTGAAGACATGCTTATTTAACAAACCATTTCATTATATAGGTTAGTTATGAAGTATATTATTAGATTATTAGCATATATTAAACGAGTTCTTAAGCCATTTACCTTTCAAATGGTAATATCGGTAATATCGGTATCGGTAATGTTTTATAAATTAAAGAAATTTTACATATAACCTATGTGACTGGTACTATCAAAAAAGGTAAAATACGCGAATACAGCATACTTGAAGGAAGAAATATAAATTTTAATAAAAATTTTAAGACAAACAGCGTACAAAAAGCTCAAGTAAGGCAATGAAACGAAAGAAAATACGGTAACACACCTATGCCACGTCAAGTGAAGACGAAGAGGCTGTAAACGTGAAATAGAGAAATATAGCAAGAATAAGTGGCAGTCCAATGTATAGTTCAAGTAAAAAAAGTATAGAATAGTCTTAAACATAAATAAATTATAAGTCTTAAAATAATTGTTATTTAAAAAACAAAACGTGGTAAAGAATATTCAATCAAAAGGAAGAAAATATAGAATTCGAGACGAGTTTATTATGGCTGTACATTTTATAATACATTTCGAGGTTGACAATAAAATTTGTAATCGTGTAACGATGCACTGAAACTTCGCTTAAGTGGAAATCTCCTACGTATGATTTAAAATTCCCTTGCGTAATCTATCTGATAAAGATTTGCATAACGCATTTATATATAAATAAATCAGTACCCATTTTCCAATTTTCTCGTTTTCTCGTATTACATACATTTACCCACCCAACATGGGACTAAGCCCTGCTTATTCTATTGCTATATGTAGTGGTGGCTAAATCTCATTCTCTCTCTCTCTCAATAGTGAACTTCAATGGTGATGAACTGGAGTTTATTCAATGGTGAACCGGTGCTTATTCATTGGTGACCCGGAATTATAGTCTAGTTAATTTATATGCTTGATTAAATATATAAATTATAATATATACTTAATAAATATACTTGAATGAATATACTTGAATGAAGATTTATATATTTTGGGCTACATTTTGTATCATAATTATAGTAATATAACAAAAGAGATGGCTAATAATCGTCCAGAGCAAAGCGGAGTACGTATGCATAAGGCAAACGGAAAAAAGTGTTTCAAATTATTAAATAATATATAAAATAAAAGTATTTAAAGTTTTTTTTCGGTCTATAACCATACATATGAACGAACTTACGCACGCACGTACGTACGTATGTACGATACGTAGTCGCTCATTGATGCAGAAGTGCTTGGCACTTCCGTGTGCCTAAACATATCCGACTTCCTTGTGCTCATGAGCACAAGTGCCTGACCTAACATTTGTATCGATACTACAGTACTATCCGATTAGAATTAGGATTTATTACTATGTGGCACAAGTACTATACGTACGTACGTACGTACGTTCGTACTTTCATCAGATCGGAGTTAAATGAAATTTTATTGTAACAGCATAATAATAATATGTTCTGGGTTGGTTAGGTATGCCATGGTGGCTTAATAATAATTTTTATTTTCCAATTTCAATCGCGAATACAAATCGAAATAATAATATTTAATCAGTTCTTTTTTCCTACAAGAACTATATTTATCAAATTCATTTATAAGCATTGGAGGGATGCAAATTTTATGATTTTAGATTTAAGTTTCACATCTGCAAAATACCTCCCTTTAATTGATTGCGAACTGATGCATAAAAATGAACAGATCATCGTATGAAAAGTATGAATGTGTACCGGTAAGTTATTTTATTTTTTAACTCGAAAAATGTGTCTTTATCAGGCAACAGGTTAAATCCTCAACAAATAAAAATACTGTCTGTTTTCAATCGAAAAAATGATATTTAAAAGGATATGCAAATATCTATTATTTAGAATTTCTTAGAATTTAGAGTTAAGGTGTAGGTTTATTAAAAAATTTTTTTTTTTGAATCTTAAGGTGAGGCCATGCCTCTAACTTTATTAAAACTTAATTGAATCTCTTTACAAGAAAATTTACAAGAAAGATTAAAATATTTTTATATACTTCAAAATTATAATTTGTCAAAGAATTTAATTCTATTTTTACTTAACACATATATATTAAAAAATATTTTTCAAAGTAGTATTAACTTTGGAGTACAATAAAATATAATCAAAACTCTTTTTGACAATCCTCTGGTCAACAACTCCAAAACCCCAAACTATAGAAAAATGTTATAGAAGACATTAAAGGGTGATAATATACTTGGTTCTACACAAGTGGGTGTGTTGTTGATGAAGTACCAAGAGTATAAAACCAAGGAGCAGACTACTTTGTATAGTTTTTATAAAGGTTAAACTTTTCTGTAGTGGATTCTTTTATTATATTCAGCATTTAAACTAGAAGGGTATTCTGGAAACACAAAATAACTAAGTTAATGTTAAGCATATTAAAAACTGAAGATAGTTTCTATATAATTATAAAATTTACAAGAAAAAACTCACAAAGTTTTATTGACCCACCATTTTTTCAAGGAAATTTTGTTAAAAAGTAGATGTTTTAGTTTATTTTCTTTAAAAAATTAACATCTTTAAAATGGGTTGTAAACACAAAATCAGTAAATATTCAGAGTAAATAATTGAATATATTTGAAGGACAATCAACACAAATAGGTTATATGTTTTGATCAAAAAAAACTGTTTAACAATACTTCGAAACTATTAGTATTTTTTAATTACTCTGTCTAACTTAGTCTAATTTAGTTTAAATCTATTAGTTTTTAATTTTTTATTGACAAATAGACATGTTATTAGGATAGAGCTAGATACAAAGCTTTTTATCTTGTAATATATAATTTTTATTAGCTCAATATAGGCTTATAATTGTAATTATCAGATTCCTTTTTTTTAGTATTAGTATTAGTATTAGTATTTTTTTTATTTTTTCACTTTATATGAGAAAATATTATCAAATTGGTAGTATCTTATTATAGGATAGTGGTCTGATAAGGTCTTTTAGTATAGGTGGTTTTTGAATTTTTTGTAGATTTACTATGATATATCTCTTGTAAATATATTTGCCTAATATAGCTAATTATTTGTAGATGCTCTTAGAAGTAACTGCAGAATGTTAGGCCTAAATATTAAGCTCAACATTTTGTATATCTATGACAAAATATTCTTAATAAAAAATCACTGACAAGACAGCTAAAGTGAAAAAAAAGTATTAACTTTGAAGTATTTAAATACAGTATACTGTATTTTCACAAAATAATGCTCATCTGCATGTTATTTTGAGTATATATGTATTATTTTGAGTACATATATGGGTGTTATTTTGAGACAAATATAAAATTTTAAGTATTTTGTCTAAAACAAAAAATGTTTTGGAGCTAGGTTGATACTAAATAAATTTAGTCCCAGAGCATTTGTTATAAATAAGCACCTCTTATATAAAATGCATATTATTTCAGGACATGTATAAATATTATTTTGAAGCAATATATATTATTTTTAGAAGCACAATTTTTGAAATAACACTTATGAGCGTTATTCTATAAAAATACAATAAAAGCATTTTTATTCAAAGCTATTTAAACTTAGTATTATTATCTATAAGAATATTTTACTAGTCTTATTAAATATAATTTATTTAAAACTTATTAAACAAACTATGTTAGGGCATGGACAGAAATCAGGTGATTTTTGGGGGGGGAGGGGATATGGTGGTTTAGTCAGGTCTTAATAGAATAATCAATTAAGTAACAAAACTATATATATACTATAACTGAAAGTTTACTATTAGTACATATTATATGTATATATGTACATACATA